AGGTAGATTTTTCCCGTGTAATTTTTTAGATCATTGAAATGTGCGCATCTGGACCTATTTTGTATCTTACCATAGACCACCTAAGATACTTGAAAATGTCGCTATTTCTTCAGTCGCTATGATTTCGTTTATTCTTCTCAGAAGGACTAAATGAGTCAATCGATGCGGATCTGCAAGGAAGAAATGAATTTAATTTTTTATCGACTCCATTCCACACAGCGCCAATAACAGCGGTCAGTGTTTGCGTGAGAAGACCACTGGTGATTACTGGTGGTGCTGATAGAAGTGTAAGGTACCGGGATTGAACGCGTGCTAGTCACAATGAAGTTTCAGTCGCACTGTTGGAGGAATATATGTTGGTTTTCCTCAGCTGAGCTCAGGAGTTTTCTTAGTTTTGTACATATATCAAATGGAGTTACACCCGTTCCACATGAAGTGGCGTGATACCCTACGCTTTTTTCGCGGAGTGAATTGTGAAATACGTTTTTCATATCATGGGTAAACTCCATTTGTGTCGGTGTCAGGTTATTGTGTGGAATTATGAAGATAGAAAATGTGAGATTCATGAGAAGTTCGATGAGGAAGTTTGTTGTGTGGCAATCCACCCCAACGGTTTTGGGATGATAGTTGCTCTGGCGGGAAGAATTAGGTGAGAAATTGAGAAGACATAATTGCGGATTTGCAATTTTTATTAAAAGTAGTTTCATTTTCTACTGGGTGGAAAATACGCGAAAGAATTCCCACATTTAAAGTCAAATTTTCTATAGTCTATAGAAGTTGTCCTATTCTTTGACGTGTTTGAATCCGAATGATGGAGTAAGATTTCAATCAGGTTGATGAACTTACTGATGGATGCTATCCAACCGTACAAGGATCTTCCAGTGAGGAATAGTCGAGAAGTTAAATACGCCCATGGGGGTCATCTTTTTGCGGTGGCGGGATCGGCTAATCAAGTTCAGGTGAGAAATTGGTGAAACGAAGGTCGGATTTTGTGTTTTTTTATTTTTTGTGTTATTTTTGGCTTTGTTGATCTAGTTTGACATTGTTGTAATGTTGATGAAGTAAAGAGTTTTGACATTTAGAATTTGGAGTCTTCCAAGATAAGTTTGATGGCTTGATTCACACTGTGATGGTGTCACTCACGTGCTTTCTTTGTGGATTTACGGCATCATAGACGAATACCATCCGAAAATGCGTAGATTCAACCTCTCGAGTGCATGTGAATTAAACAATCGAAATTGTGGAATTCGGTTGCGACCGGAGCATTTCGAATTCTGAATGCGCGACTACGTCAATTGAACTTATCCGATAGATCCTTACTTCACTTGTATGAGATTCGAAACAATGAATGAGGAGTATATATAAATGCATATTCCAACTCAGCCATCAGCTTGTAATCGTGAACTAAACACATTGCAAAATATTCCATTTCCATACCACATCTTGGTGAGATCGTCGATCAGATATATAAGACGTACAGTGCGGAGTTGTTCTGTACGACTATTGCTGGCGGGCAGGCGACGATGCTCGGCAGTGTCGGTATGCAGGAGGCGTTAGCGGCGGCTGGTCTTGGAGGGTAGGGGGTCCACACCATTTTCAGATCAAATTAATTTTTTACTCGTTTGGTTGGCGTTCTACGTTTCTCGTTAACATTTTACCCATGGTATTGATTGAAAATGATTTGAGCTGGAAATGTGATGGATTGGTTAAAGTATCGTGGTGTATTTTTATAAGTGTACGTGAAAAAGGGACTCACTCTGAATTGTATTGGATATTTCGGCAACTACTTTTGAATGTTTATTGTGCGAGATATATTCTTCTAAGATGTGGTTAAGCAACGAAATACTCAGTGAATGCTCACTGATGATGGCTACCTGATATATAAATAGATCTTATATTGCTATCTAATATTCAGTGAACGTATTTTAAGGTGGTTTTGGATTGTTATTATCATGGAGTACGATCCAAGAATTAGTTGTGAATCACAACTTGTGATTTAGTTCGCTAAGGGATGTGATATCGTATCGTTTTCAGGCAAGTGCACACGATTGAGTTTAGCGATGATGATACTGCTGTGGGAGTAATAACTTCGGATGGGATTATGTAAGTTCGGAGAGCTTTAGCAGAATTGTTATTATCGTTCGTTTGTGCTGACGGCTTAGTTGAGTCTTTTTTGCGAAGATTTGTGTGTGGATTTAATTAGTGCGGGAAAATGAGAAATGCGCTCGCCCAATTGGTGGCTCGCATTGCAGGAGATAAAAATTATTTTGCCATGGTGATTCTGTTGCAGGTATGAGTACCTTCTTGTGGGAACTGAGGGACACAGTGCGCCGTGTCGGAGTGCCAGAGAGTGGCGAGCGAAAGCTAGAGGAGTTAAAGCAGTTGGTGTAGCGTTGGTGCGGACAGAAGTGCCAACGAGGACAGGAGTAGGCCCGGCAGTGGATTATGTTTTGGAAGGTATTTGGCGTTTTAGGTCGACACTGCTACAGGCTTCGCACCGCGGGTAAGTGGATATCGTTCGATGGCGCCTGAGAGTTGTGCACTTTGTCGACCGGAGTCAGCGATTTCCCTTGGGTGAAATAAGAGAGGGTTGTTCAAGGAATGAACATGCTCTACTTTAGCGGAGTAGCCGATCAAGAAAATCACCTCGGGCGGAGCTCGAACCGTCGATCACGGGCTCAAAAGGCACGCGCTCTATCGATTGAGTTACCGAGGCTGTCGGACTTAATGCAGTGGCTCACTCGTCGCGACTTTGATATGGTCCCGAGTGATTGTATCTCTGTTCAGGACGGCAGTCTGTCTGCTGGCGACTCTCGAACCGCTCAGCGTGTACGGCAGTGCAAGCATACTATCTATATCAGCTGTTCGGACGGTACCATTGTCGAACTCGGTCCGAATCATCGGGGAAAATTTGGCACTTACGATCGCCTATATGACATTCGACCCACTCCTGGTACGGCCATACAAAACATATTGGCTATTGGAGAGGAAAAGCAACTTGGAATTAGTATGAGTCCGACAGAACAGCTGAGGCAAAATAAAGTAGCGAAATTGAATACTAATCGTAAGCCACATGAAGTATGTCAGGCTAAAGCTCAAGGGGATAATAAACCACAGCATTACCCATTGGTGGTGCCCACCTCGTCGGGTTCGCGACCGCCCCTTCTGTTTGGGAGTTGTTCAGCGACGCTGGCGAAATCGCAGACCACAGCTACTCCTATTAGTGATTCACTGAGTGTTGTTAATGCGATGATTGATGAGCATACAGACCCTGAAATTATGGGGAGCGCGAGGATTGCTCTACCGAGCTTTTTGAAGGTGAAAGAGAAGAGCTTATGCTACTTGTCGTCAAACAATTGTTTATCGTATTTAATTGTGTGCAATATCGAGGTTGTTATGATTCCATCAAATTTGAACTGATCGTTGTCTGACGAGTGTGTCAGATTTACGCTATCCCTAACTTTTCTAAGAAGGACAAACGAAATCCTGGAGTGGGATCGATCAAAGCATTTATCGAACTGCCGGTACTAATTTCGCGGCGCGCGGTCACGTATGTGTTCATCTGGCAGGCTCATTATGGTGGGATCAGCCGTGTGGTATTGTCCCATGGGAATGAGCATCTCTTCACCGTTTCAGAAGATGGAGCGCTTATGATCTTCCAAATTTGGCACCCTTCGATGGTTCCTTTCGAAGCACCAACCAGCGCGTTGGTAAGTCGTCTCTCGGTATGGGAAACTCTCCGGTATGGGAGTAATCCTTTGGGCGACTTTTTCGCCCTTGATATGAGCATAAACCCTCGAGAGAAAGGTTCCCAACTTGTAGCATGTGATGTATCCTTTCGATGGAGACTCGATACTCCCATCGTTAGCATAAGGAGACAGCATTCTATTTGGATGAATAATTGTTCGGGTGTAAAGTTCCGATGGACTATTCAAACTATCCTTCTTGCAGATTGTCTCGCCACAGTCAGCGGCTAAACCGAGAGGTGAGTTCTTCTCTGAGGAGATGAGGTCGATCTCATTCTCAAGATTCGGAGGAAAGTCAGCGAAGGGGAGAGTCAAAAAAGATGCCACTGGCGACGTCTGAGGAAGCTCTCGTTACTAAGCCTTACCTTGATGAGAGGGAGAGGATCACTGCAGACTTACAACGGCGGGTGGCCGAACTTGGAGAACAAATTGAATACGAACTCAAGTGAGCAGGAAAAGTGTATATCATTGTATTGTTTCGCTAAGTGATGAGAACACGATATCGTTACAGCGTGGAAACTGTGTGATTTTGATCGAATTCTAACGAGTCTCATTGGAATTCAAAGAAAGCCACAAGATTTTCTCATTGATTGAGACATCTTCGGTGAGTAATTATTCAATCGTTAATTCAAGAGTTTGTTTCAACGTATTTAGCTCATTCAAAGAGGTGAGAGTGATACACAATGTGTACTACACATATAAACAGATGGTGAACCATTATGCCTTATGATTGTAGGAGTTGATAAAGCTCAAGAGATACCATGGCATGTTGGAGCATCACGTATCGTTATCGTTGCAGGCTCAGAGAGGAGCACAATCGAGACCAGACGCACAGGATGGAGAAGGAGTATTCTGAGTCCACGAGGCAGTCGGTGGCCGAATATGATAAGCTTACCGATGATAAAAACCTGATGCAAGCTAGTAAGTTCTTCGCATGATATAAGATGATGCGCATACTGGAACTTTTCCCCACTCATATTGGCAAATTAAGTGATTGTGAGTCTCGAGGCGCCCATTAGTTTGGTCATTCATAACGGAGCTGATGACCTCAGCTGATAGTATCAGCTTGATACCACACCTCAACCTGAGGTTCTTGTTTATCTTCACATCCAGCTTCTCTCGAATCCAATATCAATTAGAAGAGGCCGTCTCCGAGAGGGGTAGTTCTCCACGCAAAAGTATTCATACTAGGCGAATATTCTCCTGTGGAGCATTCGATTGTTCGCCTTTTGACAGTTCGTGTTGTGAGTGATGTTGTGAATTGCGGAAGTCGGTGGAGACGAGCCTCACTGTTTCTTGGTAGATTTCGAAGATCAGCTGGCGAAAATGACGACTGATCACCTGGACAATGTGGGTCAACTGAAAAAGACGTTTGACCACAAGATGAGCTTTGAAGGCCAGCGGTAAGTCGAGAATGAAGTTGAAAGAGTGTTATTCGAGTTTCGCCGGGCGGAATTCAAATCAAGCTCGCTCTGGCAGGATATCATGCAACCTCAACATGTTTTTCTGCTAATTCACGTACTGGGATCAACATGAGCACTTAATGGCATTAATTTACTGCTAGCTCTGTGAGTAGTGCATCAAGGGGAAGTCATCTTGGCTCCACCATCACTTGACATGGTCAGGAATCTTGAGGATTGTACGAACGAATAACTGACATGTTCTCACACGACGCTGCGGATTTACGAATCATGAAGCATCTATGTTTCTAGCCGTGGAACAGCGATCTATATTTCCACGCCGACTTCAGCGGTCACTCCACGAATCTTAGAGTATTCTCGTATACATGACTCGTTGACTTCCCTGTCGATGCTACAGCTCGTGAGGAGGCCGGGCAGTAATTGATCGCTGTTGAGCTCGTCCTATAAGTGGGCAATGATCAGCACCGAGATAAATAGTCCATCTCATACTTGAGTAAAGATCGATATCACGTCGATAATTATAAAATTAATGGGCAATTTGGCTGACGTATGATCATCGCATGTCGTGAATAAGCCAACAAGCGAGTCACGTCGTGCGATGCGAGCCGCACGGCAACTCGTAGACCCCATCACGTCATTCTTCAGTGTTAAGCCGTATATTTGGTCCTTATCAGACTAGCAGAGTTGATGGAAACTTCGGAGCGAGAGTATAAAGAATGGATGACAATGAAGGAGACTATCGAAAGAAAACATAGAAGTATGTCTTTTGAGCTGGTACATCATGGAGATGTTGCTGAGGGATTGTGTATTCGCTTGATCTTCGGTGTGGAGTGTTCATGTGAAGATCATTTTTAGTATGTTGGCCTCCTTGACTTGTTCTGAACAACTTGTTCAAAACAATCCCCCAAAACAACTTGTTTTTCATGACAGAAATAGTGGAAGCAATGGAGAGAGTTTTTGATGAAGAAAAGAAGAAGAATAGAGAAGAGCGGGATGTTGTGTTGGAGGAGAAAGAGGAGAGCTTCCGTGAGCATCACCAGAAGTTGAAGTGAGAAATCGAAAGCTAGGAATTGAACCCGGAATCTCTATCCCGTGACGCAGACGTGATACCTTTGTATCGCATGCTTGATATTTTTGTTATACTCCTGCGTCTAATCTTTCGAATGTGAGTTGAAATTGCTTGCATGTTGCAGGGCAGTCGAGATGAAGGCAGATGAGAGAATCGACACAGTTAAACGAGAGTAACGGTCGACTGGATAAGCAGGACTTCCCATCATCGAGTGCTAATCCATCAGATACGAGACACTCCTGAGTAGTGAGAAAGACGATAAAATCGTCCTGCGTGGTCAGGCTGGAATACACAAGTACTTTCACTAGCATAGCTGGGCGTTTTATATCATCCTTCCAGGAAACACTATGAGGATTTGAAGAGGCAAATGGCTTCCAGAGAAGAGAACTTGAACAGCTGCATATTGCAGGTCACTAAGGCCAACCGACTGATGACTCATTTCCATAGAAGGTTGAATTTGGATAGGTTCAAAGGCAGCAGGAGAAGATCGAGTCCTTGCTGAAAGATCGCGCGTCGAATACCAAAGAGATGCAAGAGAGAGAAAAGACGATTGAAGATGAGGAGAGACGAATGGACGAACTGAAGAGGCAGAATCAAGAGTTAGAGAAGTTCAGATTCGTACTCGATTATAAGATGAAGGTGAGTTGAAGTTTGATCATCGGTAGTCGTTATGGCTCGCTGGTAGGAATTGAAGAACGAAGTCGATCCTAAATCGGCTGAAATTGCAACGATGAGGGCTCAGATTAACCTCATGGATAATGAAATCGAAGGGTGAGCAGCGTTGAAAGAGCCCGTTTGAGCTAGCTTCATTATCGATGGAATGTTCGGCTGAGCATCCTTGTTGATTTGATGTTATCAAAAAACTTGATTGTCACACGGTATTTTGGTTGATATCATTGGTATTGAAATTGCCGTGAATTTTTCCAGACTGTTAAGTCTAGGAACAAGCCTCGTCTCACGCGAGGCTTGTGTTCAAAAATTGTTTGTTCAGATGCATGCGACGAAACAAGACGCTGAGTTTGGAGGTTTCAGAGCTGAATATGAAACAGAGAGTGCGGCGGTTTGTCGTGGTTCTCGTATGATATCCAGCACTACAGGCACTGTTATTGGAGATAAAAGACGAAAAGGGGAAAATCGCTGAGGAGCAGCGAGAGCACGAGGTAAATTGCTTCTTGTGAAATGACCCAGCTCGATATTACAACTCGAATTTCACGATTCTCGGTCCGTGGGAAATAACTTGGCACGAGTGAAACAAGGATATTCAGCTTTCACATCGACCTTCGAATTTTTCGCTTTATGCACGCTCCTTCCCATTTGGATCTTTCTCAGGTTTCGAAAACGGCGATCAGGGAGTGTTATCGAGACTGTGAAGACCCGCGGAAGTTGAAGAAAAATATCACAAAAATGTATCATCAGCTTATCCTAGAGGAAAACAAATGGACAAAGGAAGCTGATAATGGCGGGGAAACTGGGGAAATGAATGATGAGGATCTCGAGGGAGACGGGAAAGGTGAACCTTGGCCGTGTGTGTGTTTGAAAGATATTGGAATCTAAAGGATTATGGGAAACGTAAATAGATTTTCTATACAAGAAATGAACTTTTGAATGATTTAGCTCGCTGGCATAGCGGCCCCACCCGGCGGATAGATTTGTGTATGGTATAGTCCTCTGGTATAGCGGCCCCGTTAGGCGAATAGATTTCTATATGGTATAGTCCTCTGGCATAGCGGCCCTATGTGGCAAATATATTTCTGATTGGTATTGTCCATAGCGGGTATCGACGAGTCGTCTGGCTTATCCTAGGGTGTCGGTTGAAATGATTGTCATCAGTTGACGGTGACCAGAAGGAGTTCGATAGACAAAGAGAATACCTCGAGAAGTGTATTAATACTCTGAAAGAGAAGCACGAGAAGGCAACTCGGGTGAGAAGTAGAATTATTATTCTGCTCACTATTGGGGAAGCTATGTGCTTGGGCAATTATGTGTATGTCCTCCTTCAAGGTTCACAGAGCTACGAATACTAGAGTTATGCAGGACAACGTGACGTTGATCAAAGAAATCAACATTCTACGGAGAGAAGTATCATTCCTGAAGAACGAGCGAGCTGCAGAGAAGCGACTGAGTTTGCCCGAAAGCTCAGAGATTCCTGTGTCGACGATTGAGCAAGAATCTACTGGAAAATGCCAGGAGGCTGCCATGCAGCGCGAGGTTCGCCATATATTGTATGCCATTGATTCAATCTGCATATAGTATCATCGCAGTAGGTTGGCATTTTGATAATAAGTCATAGCTTTATATTGTCTATCTTCACTGCTTGCCATTCATGTGATATAATCATGATTAACTTATGGTAATCATCTCCAGCACTGTGGGTTACACTCTACCAGTGCCCTAGAGTCACCGTGACCCTAGGTCTTGAGCTCGGATCGAAATGAGTGAAACCAAGACGCTGTCACTCCAGGATCCAGCATTTTTAAGCCTCGATTCACTGTTATCGAAACTTGCTCTGATAGACCGCCTCGCGAAGGGCGTATTTTTGACAAGGGCTTTGTGTCAGGAGATCGAAGCGTTGAAGTGTGCACTCGAGGAGCTTGATAAGTCAGCATCAGAAGTTGTGGGAGATGCTACGATATCCGTTGCATGACTACGCTCTGTTGAGGATTAACCAGTCGTAACGGAACTTTTTGTGTTCTTCATTGGGATTGGCGACGTAATCTTATCATTTCATATCCAATCGACGATTAGTAATCGTACATTCAGTCACGCAACAGAAGAACGCAGCGAATAAAGGGTTATGACCATCTTGGCGGAACACTCTTGCACCGGATCGATTGAAATTTTGAACAGTAGCGCTGACTGCGATATTGTGAAAGACAAGAGAATATCTGGCCAAGTTTAGCAATGTTTGATCACAACTCGTTACATAGCGGTAAATGCGGCTCAAAGAAGATAGGAGCTTCACAATGATTCTCATCGTATAACCTGGGATCGCCTGATGGCATCACAGACAGGTATGAAAACCTGAAATCTAATCATTAGATTCTAATGTATCATACTATGGTCAACCCCGGGCGCGTCACTGG